GTCTTAAACTTGCCTATAATTTGACTAATCGTCCATCAGACTTTGAAAAAACTTTGACCTTTTAGTTTCTCTAGTCAAAATACTTATTATTTCTGAAGCATAACACCAGTTGGTTTTCGATCTCTTTCACTTCTTGCAGTCCTTGGCCGCAATGAATGGCAACGGCTGGAGGTCCGAAGAAAACGCGAGGCGCACCCGCCGCCTCCCCGCTCACCCGCACGCGTCCGTCGTGCATGCGCGGCTCTCAAAATCTCGTCGTCGTCCTCTCGCGTCGCAATTTATGAAGCGGTAGCGTGCGCGCCCTGACCATATGCGCGCACCTAGCTCGTCAAGTGGTTCCACGACCTCCGCGAACTCATTCTTCTTCCATAAATTAATTATCACTACGACTTTATATATTGGAACGTACTGTATGTGCGACCGAGCTAGTTTTGCGCCAGGGATTTGGATGTTTGCATGTGATATGGAGTAGGCGAGGCCAAATTTCCTTCGGCATGCAGTTTGTCTTTTTTTCTTTCTTCTTTTTTAAATTATTAACGAGGGGAATTCCATTAGATCGGCGGATCCGGATCCGATCATATTCATAAATACCCTGCATCTGCATGCATATTATACAATAAAAACGAATACTATACTCCTGTCCAACGCATACAAAAAAAAAACACATTATGCAGTGATACGAGACTCAAATTCAGCGACTAAAGTTTAGAAGATGTCACTTTGGGTGTCACATTAGGTGTCACATCGGATGTTCGGATATTAATCATAAAACTAATTATAAAAGTCGTGACTAAGGCCCCGTTTGGCACGGCTCCACTTCACCCATGAAGTCCTTTTTTGGGGCTTCACCTCTATAAACAACTCTATGGGTGGAGCTGTAGCCGTTTTGATAAATCGTTTGGCAAAACAGCTTCACATATAGTTTTTCTTAAAATATGCTCTTAGAGAACGCCATGTAAAATGAGGTGAAGCCGAGATATGCCACTATTTTTGGCTCATTCCCACCCCAAAGCTCTGTGAGAGCATGTTTTAGGGGCTTCATCGGTGGAGCCGTTTTATTTTATCCCGTTTGACAGAAAACGGCTCCCAGCGGCTCCTGAAGCCGCTAGAGAAGCCCTGCCAAACGGGGCCTAATTCATGAGACGAATCTATTAAGCCCAATTAATTCATCATTAACATATATTTACTGTAGCACCACATTGTCAAATCATGGACTAATTAGGCTTAATAGATTCGTCTCGTAAATTAGTCTTAGTCTATGTTCAATACTTTAAATTAGTGTCAAACATCTGATGTGACATGAACTAAATTTTAGGAGAAATCCTGTGTCCAAAACCATTTTGTAACTTGCACGTCTTACGATATGACATCTCAACCCATCCATTTCTTCATAAATACATGTACTCTTCTTGTATGTACTGCTGATTTATTCATTCACCGTCCCATCATGAACATATATATATACACACACATACACACACGTCGTCGTTTTAAAGATTTCTACCAACCAATTGTTTCTGATTTATTTGGCACTTAAAATATTTCTCAAAATCTTCTCATATATGAGTATATAAGCTAAATCACTCTGGTTGAACTGTTAATGCCAATCCACCACTGGTACTGATTGTGATTGACCGAAAATCCAAAAATCACGTATCCCCTATCTCGTTCGCTAGATCCTTGGCCGTGTCACACTTCACCGGGTCGTAAGTTGTTCTATCGTAGTCTATAACAAAGTGATGAAGCTAGAACACAGTTAGTTGACACCAAAAGATAGACCGATGCCCTATTGCCTTTAACATGGCATGAATCGGGTTTAGATATCCGCAGTTTCGGGTTGACATGGTTTTTCACCCAAAGATTGACCAATCGGGTTCTATTGCCCTTTGGTTTTCCACCCGTGGATATCCAATGGATATCCGAAATAAATCATTTGAATTAAAACTCATGTTTTATAATATACTAATAATTTTGTTTACTTAGATTATTAAATTTATTTAAAGTTGACTCATGAAAATATTTATTATTTGTTGCCTCTTATTTATACATGTGAATATGTGTATATATATCCGCTGAGTTTCGGGTATCCATTCGGGTTTCGGGTATCCGTTCGGGTTTCGGGTATCCGCGGGTTTGGTTTTGGTGATGGATTTCCACCCGAATCGGTTTTCGGGGCGGATTCGGGTTTTGATTTCGGGTTTCGGTTTTGGGTGCACGGAGACTCCACCCGATCCGAACCCGACCCGTTGCCATCCTTAGCCCTTTGTGGTGGATGGTCCTGAAAGACGAACCATGCCTCATTTGACATCGGCTTCAACTTTTTTTTTTTTTTTGCCTAGCATGACACTGCCACTAGCTCTGGTTAGTTTAGTTTCCTTTTCTGTTCGAGTGTGTCAGTGTTTTCATGGTGTGACCAAAATACACCTGATCATAAAACATTTAGGAGAGCTCACTCTTTTCAAGTTCATATTCTTTATAGTCGAGTTGAACGATATATATTTATGATAATGATATATATTTCTTATGATAATGATAAAGTTGCGCGCACAGAATGATATGTTAAAACAAGGTACTGTTTTGAGACGTATATATAATACATAGGTGACGGTCGAGATCAAGGTTGTCAAAATCGTAGGTTCTAAATTGAATCGGAGATTTCTTTAGTGAATTTAAGATCGTTATGGTATAGTTGTAATAAACATAAAAAATCAAGAAAGCGTAATACTAATTAGAATAATAGAATCATACCCCTTAGTTAAGATCGCAAAGGCGTATGATCTCATATCAAAATCGCAGATTTTAACTAATATGTCGGGATGGCCTTTTGTTTTAGTTGAACTTGGTTGTATGCACGTGTTAGCATGTGGTGTACCAAAATATCACTGCATGGTTTAGATAGAGCTTTGCTCTGGAGTCATTCATTTATTTCTTTATTGTCAAACAATTTTGTACCTACTGGATGCATGTGTGCTTCAACATTACGTGTGTTTTTTCTCTCTTTTGGACAAGGAGCACAAAACATGTGCGGTGAGATTTGAGTTCTCATTCCAAAAGCCTTTTGTTTTAGTTTAACTTGGTTGTATGCACGTGTTAGCATGTGGTGTACCAAAATATCACTGTATGGTTTAGATAGAGCTTTGCTCTGGAGTCATTCATTTCTTTCTTTCTTGTCAAACAATTTTGTACCTACTGGATGCATCATGCATGTGCTTCAACATTACGTGTGTTTTTTTTTTTTTTGGACAAGGAGCACAAAACATGTGTGGTGACATTTGAGTTCTCATTCCAAAAGTGTATGTTTGTTTTTCGAAACATCGTCAGTACAGTAGATCTTAAAATTAATAGAGTTGTCATAGATATTTAATTGGAGTGGCATCACAACAATTGGCATAGACAATCACAACCAGGATATTAAACTTCTCCTAGTGACGTGGGGTTCTCCTAGTGTTTAGCATTTAATATTTAGTATAAGCTTTTCCCTACCAAATGCCTCCTGGTAAGGATTCTCATGTGCTATGACCGATAGTAGTATTATTATTATTACTACTTAAAAACACTAGGAGAACACCATCATTTTGATAGTGAATGACGGTTTTTTTGCTAGGCACATGGATATCGATTTAATCTTAGGAAAGATAATTATTAGAGTGGCATGTTTTTATTTTTTATATGTTGTGTGCTTATATGTTGCAGATTAATAAAATCTTTCCTTTATAAAAAAATAGTCATTTATTGTGAATTAGCATATCACCTACTATTAAAGTATAATTAACCAAAAATATGAGTATATCTATAGTTGGAGTTGCGAAGCAAGCCCGCCACTACTTCAGATTCATGCATCACTGTCGGGTCCAGTACCGATAACAATACCATAATTGAGGGAAGAGGACAATCAGTAGTAGAGTTAAAAGAGAAAGGTACTTTGGGGGTTGATTGATTGGCTGCATTTGCCTCAGCTAGGTTGGTGGGATATAAGTTTCAGCTGTTTGGTTGCTTGTACTGGTTTCTAGGTCTGGCTCACGGGATGCAAAAGAAGCCTCTTAGCTTGGCTCTCTAGATACGCAGATTTTGGGCGTTTCTAGGGAGCTAGGCTCTCCATGGATGCAGATGATTACCTAGCTGATGATTTAGTGTATGCTTAGTAAATATCAAGTGATATTAATGTGTTTTAAAGAAGTTTAAGACATAATAATATAATATAAAATAAGATAAAAGAACAACTTTAGAGTGTATTTGTACTAAACAAAAATCATGATCATAACCTTGTATTTTTTTTATCTCATGCAACATTCTCCATACACACAATCAAACAATATCTCTTCTCAGCCAGGCTAAATAGGTGACGGTGTTGCATACGCTCTGCCTGTCCGACGGGTCCCTGGCTCTCATATACGAGCTAGCCTCTACTCGTACGTGAACCAATCACCCCGTAGACTGTTGGTGGGAGTCTATCCATCCAAATAGCCCAACAAATTTTTAGCTAGTTATGTTTATAGCCGGAGTAAACAATTTGCTCTAGACGATCAAATAGGGTCTCACAATTACCACATGATATATATTCTTTCTTTTGTCCAAGTTACAAAATCCGTCCATGTAGCCATAATGTCTCAAATGCCATGTACTACCTATTTATTTTGGGATTGAAAGAAGCTCACATATATTAAATTATCGAGTGTTGCATGCATGCAACACCACCCATCATCGACGGAAGGTACCCGATACTCGTTGTACACTGCACGTCTTTCGTTTGGTTCGCGTTTCAGTTTCTTTATAAAAAAAAGCTTAGGCAGCATATAGTCTCCAGCGCATTTATTCATTGAGAGACAAATACTGGCCACGTGTGTGTGTCACACACACACACACACATACATATATGCAGATGCCATTGCCGCCTAGCTCTTCCGATCCACTGCTCCATTCCATCGCACAGCACAACGCCTGCCAAACCTGCAGCCATTGTCGCGCGCGATCGAGCTACTAGCCACCTAGTCCCTGCAGCCATGTCCAAGGCCTTCGCCAAGTCCCTCTCCCAGCTCAACAAGGCCCTCATCAGGAGGCTCAACGCCCTCGTCGTCACCCGGGCGCAGCCTGCGCCGCCGAGGCCGTCGCCGGATGGTGGGCGCGTGGCGACGCCGCCGCCGGACCTGGTGGACGCGCTCCCGTCAGCGGCGGCGGCGGGCGGCGTCGCCGTGTGCAAGGTGGAGGGCGGCCTGCTCAGGTCCTCCTCCGCCTTCCCTTACTTCATGCTGGTGGCCCTGGAGGGCGGCGGGTTCGTCAGGGCGCTGCTCCTGCTGCTGCTCTACCCCGCCCTGCGCCTGCTCGGCCACGACAGGGCGGTCAGGGCCATGGCCGTCGTGACCTTCCTCGGGCTCCGGAAGGACGCGTTCCGGGTGGGCAGGGCGGCGCTGCCCAAGCTGCTCCTGGAGGACGTGAGCGCCGAGGTGTTCGACGCGGCGGTGGCGCCGCCCCGCCGGCGGTGCGTGTGCGTCAGCGCCATGCCGCGGGCGATGGTGCAGCCGTTCCTGGCCGAGTACCTCGGCGTCGACGCCGTCGTCGCGCCCGAGATGAGGGAGTTCAGGGGGTACTACCTGGGAGTCATGGAGGACGAGAACGAGGTGCTGCGTGCGCTGGACGTCGGGAAGGTGATCGCCGGAGACAAGGCTGGCGGCGGCAGTGACGACGACGTCGTCGTCGGCGTTGCTGGACTCGGGTCCTCGTTCGCCCAGGTGTTCCAAAAGCATTGCAAGGTTTGTACGTCCCAGCTTATTCCAAAAAACAGATGGTGTCCCATAAACTCTGCGGTAACTACCTACTGCAGTCACCTTCTCAAGAGTCAAAATTTGACTGCATTAACATGCATCAAATTATATCGATTTGACACATGAAAATGACAATATAACAATAGACTCATATATGGTAATCGAAAGGTATACAAATAGATTGATATTTGGAAGAAGTCAATTTATTTTAAGTTTGGCTATTTTTATAAAAAACAACATCGACATTTCTATATCAAACATATTTATTATAAAAATATATGTTTTAAGTAATCTAATGATATTTATTTGGTATCATGAATATTCTTATTTTTTATATATTAAGTCATGACTCCCTAAAATGCAAGCCGTGCACTTATTCTGGCCTGAAGGAAGTACTTGTCACATATATTACCCAAATAAAATGTCACGATTGTATTAAATTTGGTGGTAGTGGTATATATCTGTGATGCAGAGATAGATGTAAACGTAGGTTCGGTTGGTCACTTTCGAAGCTGTTATTTGGCCACAGATAGAAAAGAAATTAAAGAAAGAAAGAAAGAAAAACAGGGATATCTATGGTCAGCGTCTTGGTGATTGCTGGCTGCTGGATGAGCATGACCAGACGGGCTGATAACGTAACCTAACACGTAGCACGAGTAACAGTTGTCAAGAAAAGGAACTCGTCACCATTTATCTTCGGTAGACGTCCAGCTCGTCTCATTAAACCATGATCGTGCCATATAATAGTGTTCTCGTTCTCGTGTACCCCCGGCATTGGAACATGCATGCATATCGAAACAACATCGTCAAGGGTCATTAGTATATATCAACTTTATTATATGACATAGATTTTATAGATTTTCAATTTTATAAATTTCGTCGGGACTTTTGACTATATACAAACCCCTCTAGATCCGCCACTGACACATTTATATACGTGTGTTCATGTTTTATATACTTTGTAGTTTGTATGCATATATAGTCGTTGTATAAGCACACACACACACACGCACACTCACTCCTCGATCCCTACGAATACACGTGCTAAACGGGTCAGGACTTTGAATTGTTTTTAAGATTGTCATGCTCTAAATGTCACCAAAATATACTATGAGTTGTGCTATGAACAATTAGACTGGCACCAAACTATGAACTGTATTATGACTGTTTTTGAGCAGGCAGTCTGCATCATCTTTGATAAAACTTGAAATAATGAGAGTAAAATTAGGCCCAACACTGGAACGTGCTTGAGTGCTCTGTTTGACTGCTCATCGTATGATGACTTGAGCGAAATGAGAGTAGATTTGGTGAGACATTTGGGCATGAATTGCTCAAGCATGGTTAAGAAGGCCAGCACTACATATATATTATACCTACTAGCTACTCCTTGAAAAAATTATTATTTTTATAATACTATATTGATATAACTTAGCTAGATAGTAGCACCACCAATTGAAACTTGGCTTCACCTCAACTAAGTGTAAAGACAAAAAAGAGAGAGAGAGCACATAGGATAAAACATGCAAAGTGCTTCACCTTATGCTCAATCAATTCCTTATGAAATGTGCTTGATTCCATTTGAAACCTTATGATCAATTCCTTCGTGGCATTGATGTACGTGGCGGATGATGCAGGAGGTATACGTGCCGACCGAGTCGGCACGGCGGCGATGGCACGCGCTCCCGCGGCGGCGCTACCCGAAGCCCCTCATCTTCCACGACGGTCGGGTCGCCTTCCGTCCGACGCCTGCCGCGATGCTCGCCATGTTCATGTGGGTGCCACTGGGCGCGGCCCTCGCCGTCGTCCGCAGCGCCACCTTCCTCGTCCTCCCGTTCTCGCTCTCCGTGCCCCTCCTCGCCGCCCTCGGCATGCACAGCCGCCTCATCGCCAACCCCTCCTCGGCGTCCAAGAACCTCTTCGCCTGCAACCACCGCTCCCTGCTCGACCCGCTCTACGTCGCCGCGGCCGCGGGGCGCGCGGACCTCGCCGCCGCCACGTACAGCATCAGCCGCCTCTCGGAGGTCCTGTCGCCGATCCCCACGTTCCGCCTCACCCGGGACCGCGCGGCGGACCGCGCCGCCATGCACGCGAAGCTGCAGTCGCGCGGCACTGGCGGCGGCGGGCTGGTCGTCTGCCCCGAGGGCACCACCTGCCGCGAGCCGTACCTGCTGCGGTTCAGCCCGCTGTTCGCCGAGCTCGGCCACGACGTGGCGCCCGTGGCACTGCACTCGTCGGTGGGCATGTTCCACGGCACGACAGCGGGGGGGTGGAAGGCGCTGGACCCAATGTTCCTGCTCATGAACCCCGTGCCGGCATACATCGTGCAGTTCTTGGACACCCTCGAGTGCGGCGGCGGCGGCCCGGAGGCGGCGCGCGCCGTGGCGAACGAGCTGCAGCGGCGGATCGCGGAGGCGCTGGGGTACACGTGCACGGGGCTGACGAGGAAGGACAAGTACCTCATGCTCGCCGGCAACGAAGGCCTCGTCGACGTCAACCACGGCGGCGGCGCCAAGAAGAAATCTCCTACTTGTGCTACCTAGTTCTGAATTTGCATTGCACGCTTCGCCGCTTCAGTGATGGATAACAAAAGGATAAAATCAAAGTTTTTTTTTGTGTGTCAGTGTGTGTGTTCAGTTTATTTTATTGACAGTTTTATAGATATATGATTTGGGTTGTATATACTTAATTATTGTAAGGTAGTGTGCTCAAGTCGTCGCCTGAGTGAGTAAAAAAAACGTCGCCTGAGTGTAAATTTTGAAAGATGTATTTTGAATTCATAAATTAAAGTGGTGAGTTTGATCAAGTGGTTATACATGCAATTCAGCGCCACTCTTTTTTCATTATTTATTTATTATATTATTAGGTCAAACTAAGATTTCCTTTAGAAATCCTCTGTAGGCCTAATAACTCTATACTCATCCAACTCAGCGCCACTCTTTTTTTTTCTCATTATTTAGTCATTAGGTGCAAATAAGCTTTTCCTTTTTGAATTCCTCTGTAGGCCCGCTTAACTCGAATTCGCAATTAGGCTCACCCGTATCACTGTAGCCGCTACATTCCATTCCGTCCCATCCCATGCAATTCCGTTTAAGATACGCAATGTCTTTTTTTTTTTTAATATCATACGCAGTGTCTTTGTTGTGATGGCTACAAAGATTCATTAGACATTTGGGACCTGACCAAGAAAGGACTCGCTGCGCTGACCACATTACTGCTAGTGCCATGAGGGGGTCCTTTGACACCTTTTTTGCAACCAGATGTTGCTGTAGGCAGTTTATATATCTTACTACTATAATCCCAACCAGCAACTCCTAACCACCACCCATTTCTGACCTATTTAAATGCCGGCAGTGGCCCGGCCAAGCCCGGCAACTGACGCCGGCGGCTTCATGACCATGACGCTGCATAAAATCAAACTACTTTTAATGTGTCCTGGTCCTCAGTTTGCTGCTTCTGAATTCTGATACCAGTGACATTTCTGCACAACAGAACAGCAACTGCTGAGAGACTAGGATAGTGCAGCTCATGCTAAATCACCTGCAATTTATGCACATATGATCTTTGCACATCTATGCATTTTGCATTTCGATTATAGCTTTTTCGCAAGCAAGTTCCCGGGGCCAGGACGATACATTAACATCCACCAACACTCTTTCCATGATGAAAGATGATTTACAATGGCCATTAACATCAGCCAACACTCTTCCCATGATGAACCAGGATTTACAATGGCCCCTCGTTACGAACCATTAAGTCGGGGGCCGATTTTTCCGACTTGTATTTCCTTAACCAAAACGCTTATTCTGTCCTTTTTTTTTTTTTTTGTCTGCCCCTGGTACCTCCTTTGCTTACCACTGTTTCTTCCCCTTCTTTTTCCTACTACTACTGCTACTGCTACTCTTCGCATTGCTTCCGTTACCAGGAGAAGTCCGGTCACCTTGTGCCCCGAATGCAGTTTCAAACATTCCAGAGTTGACTGCATTCTGGAACCACTCGAAGAACTCTTCCTCGTCGAGTCCTCCATCCATGTTTACACCACTTGGGGCCTTACCACCCCTCTGCGCTGAGGTACTCCCCTTGCCACTACTCTGCTTTGCCATGTTGGCATTGACATGAAAGGTTGCCTTGTGAGTGTTCGCCGGGCATCTCATTCCCTGGAAAAACAGAAATTCAAATATCAAATCACGCATTCATTACTTCTTTGCCTGCTTTCATGGTCTACAAAAGAGAAACTTCTGTCTGCAAACAAAGCAGAGCCAGAGTTTTTACACCTCTGCATGTATTTGTAGATCATTCCATTTCGCACCTCGGATTTAAGAAACCATATATATACTTGCTGCAACTACAACTAGAAATATCTAAACTCTGTTGTCAAAATTTAACCTTGTGGTTTAGCTGGAAAATTAGTAATCACAGAAATGCTACAAGAATTTGTAGCCCAGTCAACTGATCTTGTATGCATTCTTTGCTTGTTTAGTTTTAAATAAATCAATACATGTTTTTCATATTTTTTAGAGATCTATGGAAACTTCCAGATATATGCTTTTTTAAAATATTTCTTTAGGTAACTTTATGTCCGGCCAATACAGATCACATGCTAAGGATAAGATATGGCAATGCTGAACTCTATAGTGCCTTCTTGACTCAAGCTTTTACTATGGACATCTAGGTCTTCTATTGGCTACATATCCACAGTACTAAAAATTATACAAAATGAGAAGAAAAACAAGTCACTAGCTACTCTCGTTAATAGTTACTGCTATTAGATGCATGGGTTATTCAAGGGTACAATGCCCCTGCACAGATCAAAGAGTATTACACGTGGTACTCCATACGCAATACTCACTAACATGAAAGTACTCACAAGCTACTCGCTCCGTTTTTAAATAATATGACATTTATGACAAACTAATAGTTCATTTTTACCTAGCTAGCTTGTCCTAAATGTCGTATATTTAAAAACAGGGGTAACAAAGTAAAAATGATGACCCTTCATGCAGAACAAGCAAATGTTTGTGCAAAAAATAATGAACAGATCTGAATTTTTATTGAGAAAATCTGAATCACCTGACAGTTGAACCACTCAGTGACATCAAATATGTAGCTTTCTGCACAAACATATGCATGAGGTAAATCAAGCTGCAAAACAGAACAAATCATACCATGTCAGTCACAACTTTGTGATGCCTAGGTTTTATGTTTGATGCGTACAACTGCTCTAGAAGTGGTGCACAAATACATCATTTTATTTCCTGAAAAGAAGTTAAGTTTTTAAAAAGCAAGATCAAAGGTTCGAATAATTTTGCATTTACCTTCTGCAGCATGCCAAATAGAACAGGTTGAAAGGACTGTTCAACCCATCCATCGCCATCTTTAGCTTGATGGAACTCCTTGCAGTCCTGCAATATAGAAAATACGTTAGTTAATTTAAGACATTTATCAGTAGCACAGTATTAGAAATCACCCATTTCACATGTCAAAAGAAAGCACCTGACACCACCTAGCTTGTGATTTAGCTCTTCCAGTATAAATCCAAAGATGAAAGTCGCCGCATTTTTTGCAAGCTATTCTTCTGGAAAGACCATAAGGACCTTCATCAACACCTTCTGAAGGGCTGAACCCATGTTGGAAAGTACTGTTTCTTCCATTCTTGAAGAATCAGAGAAATCATGCCAATCAGAAATGTAATGAACTAAAACCTTTCTAAGGATGAAATAATGCAACAAACAGGATGGTCCAATGATTGCCCATTAAACAGTAGAGTTTCCATGCAACATATAGCATAGTAGCTAATAATGCAAGTAAAAAAAAAACACCTTATAGATAATGTCTTTTGATGTCAGAATTCTTATATTAGGTGCCCTTCAGTGAACGAACCTTATAACAACACATGAACTTTTTGTATTTTTATAAAGTTTGACAAAATCACTTTAACTGCCAAAAGTATGAGTGCAAAACTAAAACTAGATGAAGTCCCATACAGTATAATTGTCTCGATTGCAAATGATGTATCAAGTTATTAGCATTTCAATTTCCAAATCATACAATGCATGTGAGACAAACAGCAGTCTAATAGCAGGAATGCAGGATTTATCTAGACTTATTTTGCCATCCTAATCAATCTATGTGAAATTTTAACTAATTTTCAACAGCACTTAATAAATAAGCACAATGCAGTAAACAAAAATGGACCCTTGATATGTCGGATAAAACTATTCCAGCAAAACTTTCCTAAAAGATACATTGAACAAGCTGTTCCCAGCTTGCCATTGAAACCAAGAACAGTCTAAAGGGGTGTTTGAGGACACCTAGAAGTAATAATGTTTTCCTGTAACAAACAAACCCACTAACACACGGAACTGAAAACACTAGAGTGATAAACTATGTAATTCCTGGATGAATTGAACTTTAATGGCTGTCAATGAACATTTATGGGTCATGTTTTCGAAATTATAAGTAGTCCAGAGCTGATTGTGACCATATGTAAAGTTGAGTTGCACGTCCTCAAATGGCCAAAGCCCCAGATTAATATGGTTACACCAGTAGGTGACTTCATTCACTGTAATCCTCTTCTGTGATACTTGGAAGAACAATGAGTTACAAACTTGCCCAGTGATATAATGTAAATCCATGCATGCACCTAAAAATGTAAACACTCCAAAACTAAACTAGTTCCAAACTTGTCCAAATTTGGATATTTTTTCAGTCCAGTGAAAGTAACCAGTTTCCCTACTACAGTCCCCACTCATCAAACTGTAACAGGACAGCGGTAGTTGCAGGTAGCCTTAAGAATGCATGCTTGAACTACCTCAGAGTCAAGAATGGGAATATATAGAAGTTTAACAAAGCATAAATGGCAAGCATAAAGGAAAATTAATAAGACCTTTTGAGAAACACTCTGCCTGAAGTAATTCAGGAGGTCCTCCCTCCTCAACTCATCATCATATGTCTTGCGTTTCAGTGAATCAAGAAGAATCTGTGCATTTAGTATGAACCTCATGAATATACATGACCATAACAAAGATGCATCGTGATTGGATCTATGATTAGCTTGACAAGGACTACACACAAACCTCATATGCATTTTGAAGCTTTTTAAATGCATCAGCAGCTTTATCATTGCCCATATTCTTATCGGGATGGACTAACATAGCCTGAAAAATCAGTAATCACTGTTAACAATTATTATTATCACGTCACAGCTTTGAAAAACATTAATTTAAACTGAAAGGTGACACGTGCAAAAATAAAGCATATGCTTTAGTTCATCTTTTAGCATCACCTTTTTCTTGTATTCTCTCTTAAGAGATGATACATCTATGTTCTCGTATCGACGGAAACCTAATGCTGAATAGTGGTCAGTGCAGTTCAGTAAACGAGCCATTTCATCTTCAGAGGTCAGCTCTTTCTCAGGTCCACTTGTTGAAGGATCACCAGGACCTCGATCTGAAGCTGGAGCATATCTGGCTTGGGAGGTGCTATCTGCTGATGGCTGAAATTCTTCAAAGATATTGCCTGCTCTACCTGAGCTTTGCTCCGAGTTCCTTGAAGAACCATTGAATTTCTTATTGTCTACATTGTCCCTTAGGAACTGCACTAGAACATCACTAGAAAAGAAAGATAAGTTGAGGCCCAAAAGTAATCCGAGCCATCCGACATAGCATCTCGCACAATACATCGAATATAAACAGGCAACAAGGAGAGCTATTCGTTCACGTTTCACGAAAAAGAAAACACCTGCATTTTGGAAACAATGGAAATCACCACTTAGTTATCAAGTAGTACTGCATTTACAAACTGTAAAATTTGAATAAAATACATCCCAAATAAATATGAGTAAGTTGCAGAATATGACCTCCAAGAATTATTACGCAAGTTGTCGTCCAAAAACTTCCATAAAACCATAAGATTACCACTGCAAGCACTGAGATAAGCAGGATAGCGAAACCTAGACCTATGAAGGCAATCACAGAAGCAGCAATCGCCTGAAAAAAGAGAGTAGCAAAGATGAAAAGAATGATAAAGCACAATGAGCATAGCAATTAATGATTTAAACAAGAAACAGCATGGCAAGAGCAAAAACAATTTAAAACAAAACCAGACATAATTCGCCTAGCAAAGTAATCTGACAATGCAACTTTTTTACTGAAACCACATTTACTGATTTACAACCATGAGGCAAGAGAAGATTAATCACATAATAGAATAATATAATAGATAATAATTATATATTAACTGTTACCAGACTTTGATTTTCAGTTCATGCAAAGCATTTTGAATTATATTATCACTTATCATAATTGAGAAATCAGTAAAATTAGTAAACAAAATAGGAATTGAGATGAAATAAGATTGAGCACGTGAAATGCAGGATCATATGAACACTGTACTGTACATTTGAATGTGAATGATACATGTTGCATGGCAACTAAACTCATTTTTAATATCTGGAGAGTAGTGACCATTGACCAAGATCATCCATAAAGTCTTCCTCTACGACAGATGCAGTATGCTGTGTTGTTTATCACAACGGGAAACCTGACTTTCATTACTACTATGCTGTGTTTTTTTTATCACAATGGGAAACCTGAATTTCATTACTAGTATGAGGTGTTGCAGCCAGTTAATCAAGAAACTGAAATAATGAAATGTTGGCGAGCAGCAGATTGGCAATTCTAAGGTCTACATTTATTGTAAGCAGGCACATATCATCATGTTACAGAAAGCACAAAAATGTGAGGTCAAATGAAGGATACTAGAGCTAAAACTTCCATTAAACCATACAAAAGAAAACATTCATGTATGAGTGTTGCATGATAAACAGTTTCTTGCTCTAAAGGTCTTGCTAGCAAGATGCCATTACCAAAGTTGCTCACACATGTTAATTCACAAGCAAAATGGCATTTTCATTACTGAGGTTAATAAGCCCAATGTTATTTTGATCTGTATTGAAAAAAAAATTGTGAAAAATGAAATATCATAAATTATGCTAGTACACATTGACATTATCAATAAATTTGAGCAGAAGCCTAAGGGATAGTTAAACCATACCATGAATATGAGCATCTTTTTTATCCCAATCATTGCAAAAGTTGACAGCATGCTGCACCAAAGGACTGCTAGGAGGGAGTTTGTCCCCCCCAACCGTAGCAAAGAATCAAAGCCCCTTAGATTGCAGTCTAGCCAAACCGTCAACAAGAGCAACATCAACCTTCCAGCATTAAGCATCAAAGCTCGAACTATAGGATAAACAAACGCAATTTTGCTTAAGACATAGGCATGCCCTTTGTTCACAATAGCCATGTAAGCGTTGATTGTTGGCCTTCTTCTGTCGATAAATCTTTTACCTTCCTCAACTAGATATATCATGGAAGCTCTAATAATGGATGCAGCCATGCAAGCAATGCACCTAGTCTTCTCCAAAACATTTCCTGCCAATCCAGACGATGTTGTTTGCTCAATCGAAAAACTTCTACCAAAACCGCGCCTAGAGGGTTTCTTGCTACCTCTTCTATTTTTAGTGCCTCTTACCGAAAGCTCATTTTCTTCTGAACTGCTTACATCACAACTGGTAACCATTTGTTGCTTCTTTCCAAAGGATGATATGCCATTGTTACTGCTGTTCCTTTTGCTGCTGCTTCCTTTCTTCTCACTGCTTCCTTCAGGACCCTTTGATCTGCCTTGAACATGTGAACTCGGATTTTCACTATCTGCAGCACCCCTTTCTCGTGTACTTAGTACATCATCATCAGTTGTATTTTGCCAGTTAGGTGAGGCATGATTGGGAGCACTCTTGATTTGATTTCCTTTTCGTGCCATGATTTCACTTGAAACTAGGATACTCAGAGTTTATATAGGTGTTAACACATGAGGGCTAATACATTATTCCGTTCCTTCAGCAAAATGAGTACCTACGGGCGCACCAAAACACACCACAAAGATACATGAAAAAACAGGACGGATGAAATGATTAATAAGAAGACAAAAGGAATACTTCTACAAGTAAGATGCGCACATTCAGGTGTGACATTTTTTAATGAGACTCAGAAACAATAAGTTCACTGGCTATATGTTAGTTGTTAGATATAACACAGCAACCTTGTGTTAGAACCAAAACACAGGTTTGGGGCTGAATTTCAGATTTCATTAGCCATGCCACAACTATGGCAGGTTGGGGATACATATAAGATAGCTTGCTTGAGCCTTAAGAAAGCTACAGCATATTCTAGAGATGCTAAAGTAGATGCTAGGGATAAAGATAAGGGCTGACACAGCCACCAACTACTCTAGATAAGTATCCTAAGTAGATAAGGACAAGACTTATAGCTGTCATTCTCCCCCTAAGTCTTGTGTGGCGCCTTTTGGGGAATTTGAACCATCCCAATCCTGACGCGAAGCTCCTGGAACTTGACCCGCCCAAGGGACTTGGTGAGAAGGTCGGCGAGCTGATCCTGGGTGTTGATGTAGCCGGCCTTGATGCTCCCCTCATCCAAGCAGCTCCTAATGAAGTGGTACTTGATTCGGATATGCTTGCTGCGCTCATGGAAGACGGGGTTCTTCGCCAAGGCCAAGGCGGACTTGTTGTCCACCCTGAGCTCCACTGCTTCTGCGTCTCTGCCCAGGAGATCGCCTAGCAGCCGAGCCAACCAAAGAGCTTGAGTCGAAGCGGTTGTGGCAGCGATGTACTCCGCCTCGCAACTGAACAGAGCCACCACTTGCTGCTTGACCGACTGCCAGCTGATTAGACACTTGCCGAGGAAGAATAGTGTCCCGCTGGTGCTCTTGCTTGTGTCGATGTCGCCGGCGAGGTCGCTGTCGCTGTACCCGATGAAGTGCTACGCACCGGGACACCTCGGGTAGTGCAAGCCGTAGTCTGTAGTGCCCGCGACGTAGCGGAGGATCCTCCTGACGGCCTGCTCGTGCTCCGTCATTGGTCGCTGCATGAACCGACTGACGTAGCCAACGGCGAACGTCAGGTCCGACCGTGTGTGGACGAGGTAGCGAAGGCTGCCCACAATGCGCCGGTATCGCGTGGCGTCGACCTCCTTCGCCGTGCTGTCGCGGCTCAGCTTCAGCCTCTCCTCCATGGGAGTGTGTGCTGGGTTGCAGCCGGTGAGCCCGCCCAACTCGACGATGTGCTTGGCGTAGACGGTCTGGCGAAGGGAGATGCCGGAGCTGTCTGGTGGACCTCGATCCCCAGGTAGAAGGAGAGAAGGCCCAAATCGGTCATCTGGAAGGTCGCCTTCATCTCCTCCCTCAATGACTCCACCTCTGCCTCCTTGGTGCCGGTGATCACCAAGTCGTCGACGTAGACGCCTACCGACAGGGCATTGCCTCCCTTGCCCCGCCGGTAGACTGCAGCCTCATGAGGACTTTGCTGGAACCCCATTTGCTTGAGAGTTGAGTCCAGCTTGGCGTTCCAAGCTCGGGGTGCCTGCCGGTAGAGGGCCTTGCGTAGGCATAGAACCTTGTTCTCCTTGCCGGGGATGACGAATCCCGGCGGCTGGTGGACGTAGACCTCCTCCTTCAGGTCACCATTGAGGAAGGCGGACTTGATGTCCATGTGGTGCACACGCCAACCCTTCTGGGCCGCCAGTGTGAGGAGACGGGCGGACTCCATCTGCGCAACGGGCGCGAAGGCGTCGTCGAAATCGACTCCCTCCTGTTGGACGAACCCGCGCGACACCAGACGCGCCATGTGCTTGATCACCGCCCCGGCCTCATCCTTCTTGAGCTTGTAGACCCACTTAAGGGTGATGGCGCGGTGGCCGGCAGGAAGATCCGCCAGCTCCCATGTTCGGTTCCGCTCGACCGCGTCCATCTCCTGCTGCATCGCGGCGCGCCATGCCGCGTCTCCCTCCGCCTCAGTGAAGGAGCAGGGCTCGCCGTCCTCGCGCGCCAGGTGCAGCTCCGCCTCGAAGTCGTGCACCGCCAGTCCATGAACGGGCTGATCACCGAAGATGTTGTCCAAGGTGTGGTAGCGTAGAGGCTCGTCGTCGTGGTAGGCATCGACGCGATCCTCGTCGTCGGACAGCGGAGTGGCAAACTCCACCGTGCGCTGCTCGTCACGGACCAAGGCTGATGGTGCCGATCTCGGAGGTGTGGGCGCCGATGCAGGAGATTGGGGAGCCGGTGTAGGAGAGCGGGGCGTAGCCGGTGGTACAGGTGGTGGACTTGCTGGTGGTGTAGGCGGTGGAGTACTCGCCGGAGCTGATGGCGAGCCGAGTGCTGCGGTAGACAAGCTCGGTGAAGATGAGCTGCTAGCTCCCCCGGCTCCCTCGAAGTGGACGTAGTCGACGACGAAGTCTCTGAGAGTCGAAGTCGAGCCGTCGTCCACCGCCTTGTCCCAGGCCCAGCCTCGCCCTTCGTCGAATACGACGTCCCGGAAGATGCGACGCGTTGTGTTGTAGGGTCGAGGATGCCCTTGCGCCCATGCCAGGCCTCGTACGGCGTTTTGCCGTCAAGGGCCTTAGTGGGCGAGCGGTTGAGGAGATGGACGGCAGTCATTACCGCCTCCCCCCAGTAGATTGTCGGCATCCCTCTCTGCTTGAGGAGGGCGCGGGCGGTGGCCACCACCGTCTAGTTGCGGCGCTCAACGACGCCGTTCTCCTGCGGGGTGTACGGCGCGGAGAAGTGGCGCTGGATCCCCTCGTCGGCGCAGTATGCCGCGAACTTAGCCGCCGTGAACTCGCCGCCGTTGTCGGTGCGTAGCACCCGAAGCTTGCGGCCGCACTCCTCCGCAGCAGCTTGAGGCGCTTGATGGCATCACATGTAGCGGGACACGTCGTCGACGAGGAGCATGAAGAAGCGCCGGCCTCCAGGTGTGGCCGGTGTCACGGGGCCGCAGAGGTCACCGTGCACGAGCTCCAGCTTCTCCTTGGCGCGGAAGCTCGCCTGGCGGGGGAAGGGGAGCCGCCGCTACTTGGTGAGGACGCAGGTGTCGAAAAACTGCTCCACGTGCTCGACTCGTGGCATGTCCTGCACCATCTCCTTGTTGCCGAGATGCTTCAGGGCCTCGAAGTTGAGGTGCCCAAAGCGCTCGTGCCACCGCCAGGAGTCGTCGTCGTGGCGCGCTGCAAGACACACGAGCTGCGCCACCTGCACGTGGAGGACGTAAAGGCGGTTGGGGCCTCTGTTCACCTTGACGAGAAGGCGACGATGGCGATCCCAGATACGCAAGACCCCGTGCTCGATCTCCACGTGCGAGCCGTTCTCATCCAACTGTCACAGGCTGATGATGGAGTTCCTCAGTGCGGGGATGTAGTAGACACCGGTGAGCAGTCGGTGCTCGCCGGTCTTGGCGGTGAAGACGACAGAGCCGACGCCCTTGATCTCCACGGCGGAGGCGTCCCCGAACTTGACGGAGCCTCGAACGTCGGAGTCAAGCTCGGAGAAGAACTCCCGCTGCCCGGTCATGTGGTGGGTGGCGCTGGTGTCGAGGTACCACCCGTCGATCTTGTCGCCACTGGACCCGTTGCCGAGGAAGACGTGAGCCCGCGGCTCGTCGAGGTGGAGGAGCGCGGCGGCGGCCGACGCGGGAGAGGAGTGCGGCTCGATGCTCCCGTGTACGAAGAACAGAGCCGGCTCGTCACCCTCCGGTGCTTGCGTGACGTGTGCCTGACCGCCGCGTTTCGCCTGCCGGCAGTCCTTGTCCCAGTGGTCGGACCTCCCGCAGTTGTTGCAGGTGTCATCGCGGGTAGCCTTGCGCTCGCCGTCGGCCCCGCCAGGAGCGCCACCACGCGCCTTGTCCCGCTTGCGCGGCCGACGCTTGCGGCTGCTCGACGAACCCGAAGCCAAAGAACCCAAGGCCTCCCCCTTCTTTCGCTCCCGCTGGCGGGCGAGCCACTGCTCCTCGATGAAGAGAAGCTTGCCACCGATGGTGACCGGCTCTGAGGGAGGTATCTGCTCGCGGTTGTCGACGGCCTTGAGGCGACCCGTCACCTCCTCAATCGACAGCTCGGAGAAGTCCAGCAACATCTCGATCGCGATGGCGACATGCGAGTACTTCTTGGGGACGACGCGGAGGAACTTCTCGACAGTTCTCTCCTCGTCGATGTCGATGTCGTTGTCGCCGTACCGCGCCAACTGCTGCATCAAGGTGTTGAGGCGGAGAGCGAAGTCGTCGACGTCCTCACCCGGTTTGAAAGCCAGGTTCTCCCACTCCTAACGCAGCTTCTGAAGCGTGGACCTACGGGCGCGGGCGCTGCCGATGCGTGCCGCGGCGATGGCGTCCCGGGCGTCCTTGGCGGTCCGCTTGTTCGCGAGGGAGGAGTGCATCTCCGTCGGAACAGCAGCAAGAAGCGCCTCCAGTGCTCGCCGATCCTCGTCGAAGTCGGCGTCGCCGTACCGTACCGCATCCCACATGCGTCGCGCCTGCATCTTCACCTTCATCACCATGGACCACTCGGCGTAGTTGGTCTTGGTGAGCATGGGCCATCCGCCACCGGCGTCGTCTTGAGCGACGGTGCGCACGCACGACGGGGGGAGCCGAGCCACGACGCCGGTCCGGGAAGGGGCCTTGGCGCTGTGAGGGCTCCGCGTGCCCGGCGTCCGTCCGCCCAAGTCCGCGCCTCGCCGCGCTCCTCCTCCGCTCGGCCAGCGTTGGCGTCACGTCTTTGCCGCTTCATCTGGTCGAAATCACGCGCGGCGTCCGTCAGAAGCGCCCACCACCGCTTTCGCGTCGATTGTCGGCCGTCGCGGTCGCCAACCTCACGCTCACCGCGCGTCGCCAGCCACCCGCGTCGGGGCGAGCCCGCTTCGGCGTCCGCTCCATGGCCACAAGCAAACGCAGCCGCAGCCGCCGCCGCCTCAGATCCGGC